CTCTATCTTGTCTCTCTCACTTCTGTCTCTCTTTGTTCTTCTCTCTGTGTATCTGTTTCCTCTCTTTCTCTCTCTTGCCTGTCTGTCTGTCTCTGCCTGCCTTCTCTTTTTCTCTCTCCCCTCTCAGAGTCCTCTTGCCTCTGGCCTCTGAAGAATTATAAGCATTTGTCCTATTGTCCAGACTCCTAATATTCTCTTCTTGTTTACTAATGAGACATTCAGCTCACTTGATGCTGTGACTTATAGCACAATAATGGATGTTTTAAACAATAATGACTAGAGATACTGCATTATTTTAAGTGTATTATTTTGTATCTACACAACTTTTTGGTGGGAGATTCTTTTCATTGTATAGGAAGTGGTCCTTGTCTTCTGGCATCTTACCCTCTAATAAGTCTATGCATGTAAAAGTGTCTGACAAAATGTGACCTGTCTCCAGAACCTGAGTCCCAGGAAATCATTTTCTGATAGCATGCTCTGAGAGTTTTATGAATAATTTGAATGAAATTGCAGTTGAACATTGAGCCTTGGAAATAACTTTAGGAAGAAAAAAGAGTCAGGGATAGATCATCGTCAGAGAGGAGTCTTGAAGGACAGGCAGCATTAAAAAAAAAAAAAGAATAAAACATATTGGCTTCATCAGAAAGTTCATCTGAGGTAAGAAAAAAAGTAGATGGCAAGTAGATAGGGAAAGGGCTTTGTTTGCCTGTCTTAATATTTTAAGTGTGTGTGTGTGTGTACATGCTTGCATGGGTGTGCATCACAGTATGTGTTTGAGAGTAAGTGAAGATCAAACCTACCTCAGATAACATGCTAGACAAGCACTCTACTTGCAGTGCCATATTAATCTTTTATTTTAATTTAAAGTAGTGCTGTGAGAGGAGTTGTCATAGGTAGGGAGTTTGCTGTGGTGTCTTACCTGGATCAGAGTGAGACAGGCTCTTCTGTACCAAGTGAGAAGCAGTTCCTTCCCAGGTGTGAGCTCACTCAGGTTGGGTTGATTGCTATTCCTGTTTGAGATGTTTTAGTGTGAAGGAAGAGGATATAACTTCCAAAGAGGAAGAAGAAAGCTAGTTGGAAAAGAGAGATGACTATACTAGCTTGTGGTGGAGGGTTATAAAGAGAAGTTTCTAGATCTAGTTTATCCCCTGTTGTCACCGTTTTTGATTTTGGTACCCTTAGTCTTATATATAAACTTATGTGATGTGGGGGAGAAGGGAAGGGGAATCACAGAAATGGTGAAATAAAGAAAAAAGGGTGAACCAATGCAAGAATGATACTTACAAGACACAGCGTTAGAAATGAACTTCACAACTTGGGGGGATGGGGTTAGGGGAAGGGAAACTGGGAGAAAATAAGGGAGGGCGGGTCACACTATTTTACAGGAAAGGTACTCATTTCTTTCCTCATGTAACTGTAACCCTTCTGTACATCATCTTTACAATAAAATTTTTAAAAAGTGAGGGACCAGTGAGAAAAATATTACTAATGAGGAAAATATGACTTCATACTACTTTCCAGGCACTGAAGAGAAAGCGTGCTCTTTGACCTATATTATTTTTCTTTCTTTAGTTAATTATGCAAATGAGGCCATCCTCCTTTTGTTTTGTTTTGGTTGGTTTGTTGCATGCAAGGCCCTGCTGTCCTTCTTAAAAGAACAAATGCTGGGGAAGATTACTCAGTGGTAGAGCACTTGCCTTGCATGCATGAGGCCCTGGGTTCGGTTCCTCAGCACCACATAAGCAGAAAAATAAAAGCCGGAAGTGGCGCTGTGGCTCAAGTGGTAGAGCGCTAGCCTTGAGCTGAAGAGCTGAGGGACAGCGCCCAGGCCCAGAGTTCAGGTGCCACAACTGACAAACACACACAAAAAGAACAAATGCTATGTTTCTTTTTTATAAAACAGAAAATATCACAGAAAGTGTTATTAGTAAATTACAACATTGATAACTCCTTAGAAAATTATTAGCAATATCTTTTTCTTTTTCTTTCTTTTTGGTGGTCCTAAGGTTTGAACTCAAGGCTTTGTGATTATTGGGCAGGCACTCAACAACTTGAATCATACCTCCAGCCCTCTTTTTAACTTTAGATATTCTTTTAAAAATGTCTTACATAGGTGTCTGTGAAGACTGCCTCATTTAACAAATTCAAAATCCTCTTATTTTCAGTCATGGCCACAGTCCAGTTCCTTTACCTTGTTCTTGGTTTTCTACATATGTAAGATTAGTGATATTTCTGAGAAAGCAAGATGCTTCTACTGATGCCATTAATATCACTGGAGTTAGTTAGGCTCCTATTAAAAAGAGTGCTGGTACCTCAGGCCTGTAATACTAGCTGTGCAGAAAGCCAAGATCTGAGACTTGTGATTCAAAGCTACCCCAGGCAGAAAAGTCTGAGAGACTGTGATGTCCAATTAACCACCCCAAATGGAAGTGGAACTGTGGCTCAGGTGGTACAGCATTAGTCTTTAGCAGAAAAGCTCAAGGACAGCCAGAGATGCCTTGAATTCAATCCCCAGGACCAGCACACACACACACACACACACACACACACACACACACACACACACACACACACACACACACACACACACACACGGAGCTTTTATAAGCTAGGCTTGGTGGAACATTCCTGTCATTCTAGTACTCAGGAGGCTGATATAGGAAGATCATAGGTTAGAGGGAAACTAAGAATACATAGAGTTCAAGGCCAGCGTGGCCTCATGAGAATATTTTTTAAAAAAGGTAGTTGCTATTATTGTAAATACCATGAATTAGAATGCAAATTTAGTCAAAGTTTTCATAGGCTTATGTCCAGTTATTATGCAGAGATTTTTTTCCTTCAAAGTCATGCATACTTAACCAATTTTCAGAAGCTCTAAGTGGTGGCTAGGTATTACTTCCTGTTGAATTAGCAGTTGCTGAGTAGTCCGGTCTTTGTACAACCCTGCAATCCACTAATGTGATATTTAATGAGGAGACATCAGTCTGGAGAAAGGTAGTCAATATAAATCAGTGTTTACAATGTGTGATTAACTCTGAAATATTTTATCAATGCTGTGGTCCCAGGCAGCCTCTATGCTAATTACTAGAATCTGCGCATGTTTCTGGGGACTTGAACGGACCCTGGGTATTACAAACAGGAGCAGTAAAATTGCAATTATGCTTGGACCGTCTCTGATGACAATTTATGCATTTGGTGTGATGACCTCCCTTCTCCCAAGAGGGCAATAAAGAGAATGCATTTTCATTAAGATACTAATGCACTTAATCACAAGGGGAAAGGGTTAGGAAGTAGTGAAAGGACCTTCAAGCGTTGTGTGACAGCTGAGAGGAGGGAGGGGCTTTATTTTAAAGGTAGCTGCTTTACAAAGCTAGAGTCAGTCTTCAGCACATCCCAAATAATTGTGTAGTCTCCAGCTGAGAAGCATTTGAAGTTTGGATTTTCTTCTGGTTACTGATTTATCATTTCAAATATGGAGGTACTGGTATAAATAATATAAAGCCTAATGTTAAAATATAACTGAAGGCCTGGCAACTGTGACTCTGGCTTCTAATCCTACATATTCAGGAGGCTGAGATTTGAGGATCAGGATTCAAAGCCAGCCCAGGCTGGAAAGTCCAGAAGACTCTTATTTCAAATTAACCACTAAAAAGCAGGAAATGGAGCTCTGTGGCTCAAGTGGTAGAGCATCAGCCTTGAAGACAAAATGTTCAGAGACAGTGCCCAGATCCTGAATTCAAACCCCAGGACTGGCACAAAAGGAAAACAAAAAGCAAACCAACTTGATAGCAGTCTACATTTATGTAGAACATTTTCGTGGAACTTGAATGTTTGGAATTATTTATGCAAATGATGTAATGAACTGGATCAGGGTGGGGAAGAAGGTAACCATGGTTATCGCCACTGCTGTCAGCATCATCCTTTGAAGAGTGGAGACATGTGTTGAGATGCTCTGGAAAGCCTTACAGTTACTTACAGTCCCTCCCACTAGGGACTTATCATAAAGTCTTACATTAACTTTGTTTCTCATTGTGATATGTCAGGAAAGACAGGAAGCCTAGAGCACCAAAAGATACCCAGTACTGACAACAAGAATCCATTTTCTGTGCTTGTATTTAATTTTTGTGCGGGTGTAAGGACATGGTAGGGCCTCACACACTTGGTAGACTTTTTTTGTTGTTGTTGGTGGTGGTGGTGGGGCTTGAACTCTGGGCCTGGGTGCTGTCCCTTAGCTTTTCAGCTCGAGGTGAGCGCTTTACCACTTGCACCACAGCGCCACTTCCAGTTTTCTGTCTTTGAACCACTATCCTCAGATCTCAGCCTCCTGAATAGCTAGGATTACAGGCGTGAGCCACCAGCACAAGGCTCTACCCGTTGAACCACACCTCCCCTTCCATCTTTTTGTTGGCTAATTGTTGATGAGAGTCTCATGGACTTTTCTAGCCAGACTAGCTTCAAACTTTCATCCTCAGATCTCAGCCTCCTGAGCAGCTAGGAATACAGATGTGAACCACCACCACTCAGCTTTAGTGCATATATCTCTGTGTCTGCATATCTATCTATCTATCATCTATCTATCTACCTATCCATCCATCTATCTATCTACATTTTCTTAATGAACGTGATTTCTTTTGGACCCTAAGAATCTAGAAGAGCACACTTTGTATGAATGGGCATGTCTTAGTGATTGTTTGCTTTATCAGTCCTTGCGAGGATTTAGGAATCAAAAGAAATTGCAACATAGATTCCGATCACAAAAAACCTAATTAACCTTTTGAAGAGCATCAGTACAGGCCTTCTCTTTTGTCACTCATTTTCTTCACGTGGAAGTACAAATATCAGCTTTGTGACATTTCTCACCACTTTTGATGAATCTCACGAGATGTTTTGGGGAAGTGGAGGTAGGGCAGGCATGGCAGAGCTGACAATTTCCTTGGGATACTAATATTTCCCGGCAGCTGTGAGTCCTAACTGCTTCTTTTCTTTGAACTCTGTTGTAGGTAATATAGAATATAGCTGCCCTGCCACGAATGAATGTGAAATCACAAAGCGCAGACGTAAATCCTGTCAGGCATGCCGCTTCATGAAGTGCCTAAAAGTGGGCATGCTGAAAGAAGGTAAGAGGTTTGTTTGGGGGGTGGGGATCCCTGTGTTTTACATTTGGGGTTTAGGGGTTTTGGTGGGTGGGGGAGTTTCACTGATTTTATAAAAACCATAAAAGGAGGGGGTATCAGTAAGGACATCGAATCAGATTGGCAGAATACAACTTCTTTATGCCTGAGCTTTCTGGGACCTCCTGGCTACGGGCTTGACATCATCCAGAAGGGAAAAGGTAGGACAACGCATCTGGTATGCAGCTGAAACCATCAGGTATGCTTGATAGTCTGGGTCTTTTGATCATTGCAATTCACAGAAGGAAGAAGATGAAGACAAACCAAATAACTCCTAATGTTACTGATTTTCTTCTTATTGCTATATTCACAGAGAAATATTTTTCCCCCCTAACTAATCTTGGCCTTCAAGTAGTCTTTGGGGATTAATTTCTAGTATAAGGAGCTTAGAGTACAATACTAAAATTGCTTCCCCATTTGCTCCCATTTGGGGATAATAAGAACAACAGGAACTATTAACAGTGAATTAAGCAATTGTCCCACTTTACATAATTATTAATCATGTTAATTACATGGTTAATAACGCATTTACTAACATACTTGATAACAGGTAAGCCAAGAATTGAACTCATCAATTCTAGTGGTCACTCTAGTATTCTACACATGACAAAGGTCCTAAAATGCTTGTACATTTCAGCGTGTTTAGCAAAAGTGATATTTCAACTTGGGAATAGGTATATGTTTCTCTCCCCCACTGTCTTTAAAAGGCCTACCATTTAGGTTTTAAATATTTCCATATGTCTTTGTGCATGGTATATTTTATAGATGTGTATTGAACATACTGCATTTTTACTTTGTTTCTCTAGACTCAGAAAATTTGCCAGAGCTTAAAATTAATAGAGTTTTTATAAAGAAACAAAGTGAAATGTGGTGATTAAAGTTTGAAAGAGATTGTTTCCATTAGTATTTAAAGACATATCATCTATAGCATCATAAAAATGTGCTTTGTTCTTGAGATTGAGCTTATTAGGTGGTGGTATATTTTATTGTTACTGGAGACTCTCTCTTTTTTTGAAATTCTAAATTCACGTTGATCAGAATACAAATTTACCAAGTGGAACCAAAGCTTCGGTTGCGCGTGATATCACTGGATCATATTATTTACCCTGCTTATGCTTGTTTGAAGACTTCCTTTTTTCTACTGTCACCATTTACAGAAGGATGAGTGGACCAGTTTATACTCATGAGCATAGACTTTCTATCTTGAACACCCCTGTTTGTCTAGTAGGAACACAGAAGATATCTTGAGTTCTTGTCACCTCTTCTTTAGCCAGGCACAAACAAACAGAGACCCTTAAAGTTAGTTTCAAAGTTTTAAACAATTTTATTGTGATATAACAGGCTTAACTTCAGCCTCATGCTTGGAAGGCAGGCACTGTTGAACACTGTTTGAGTTCTGTAACTTTATAATTAAAGCATTAAAGCATTAGCTACTGTGTCAAGCAAAAATTTCCCAATATTCTAGTAATATGAATCTATCTGTCTGTCTCTCTGTCTGTCTGTCTGTCTGAAGGAGGGAGACATAGAAAGAAGAAAGGCAGACAGAGTTAGATAGTAGGGACATACTATTGGGGTGGTATATTCCAGAAGTGTAAAGAAGAAAGAAACAATAAGTTGGTGACAGGTTACACTGGTGAACGAAAATAAGAAAGAGGAGGACATCCTTTTAAGTGGCATTGTTTGGATTGTTTATAGTTAACAGGCTTGATCTTACCAAAGCATTTGCTACATATTTATTGATATAATCTCATGAGCCAGACATAATTCCAGGCCAAAGTAACCCTAATTGGAGAAACAGACTAGATTGTTTTTGTTGCTTAGACACTCATATGAAAATGCCAGTAAGACTGTGTCTTGACAAAGGCCAACACATAAATAAAGGCCAAAAAAACATCAAGGTTTCCTTTAGTTAAGGGAAGGATGAGAGATTATTTCCTGGAGGTAGTAAAGCTTTAAACCTTGTAGCCAAGAACATACAAAACAGAACTCACAACAGAGGATCCTCAGCAGTATAATAATAAATAAATATTAATGAATAGGTAATAAAAAGCTATAATTCAGTATGTAAAAAGTGATGGATTGTTAAGTTTTGGCCCTCATTTTATTCACTTACCATCTAGTTGGGCTGTAGAGATTTAAACTACGCTTAATGCCTATTCAAAAAAGCTTAATTAAAAGTAGTTCCCAACTCCTATAATTTGAGAAATCAATATTTTTTCCAAAAATCATGATTTAGTTCAATGTTCTGAGAAGTCTATCAATGGGCACTTTTGTTGAAGGTGTTCTAGATGGAGATTTTATTTTCAAAACACTAAAGTACGTAGAGACATACCTCCATTTCCAGGAAGGCAGAAGTATTATTTTTTCTTTTCTGATGCTTCAGCTTGATTTTTTTTTTTTTTTTTTTTGGTCGGTCATGGGGCTTGAACTCTGGGCCTGGGCGCTGTCCCTCAGCTCTTCAGCTCAAGGCGAGCGCTCTACCACTTGAGCTACAGTGCCACTTCCGGTTTTCTGGTGGTTTATTGGAGGTAGGAGTCTCACGGTCTCTCCTGCCCGGGCTGGCTTTGAACCGCGATCCTCAGATCTCAGCCTCCTGAGTAGCTAGGATTACAGGCGTGAGCCACCAGCGCCCGGCTTCAGCTTGATTTTTACTAATATCATTTACTCAATTGATTTTTCTCCCAAGTTTAAGGAAAAGCAAGAGGAGTATTTTTCTTCTAAATAATTGTTCCCATGGTACTTTCTAACAGAGTAAATCTGAAGATTGATAAGTTAGTAACAATGGATGAAGAGGGTACCCTGTGTGTAATTAAGTGTTGTCGGTTCACGTAAATGGGACCATAATTATTCATAACTCACACCTCTGTCCTTGCTGTTATTAAGCCTTTACAGGGTGTATTTTCAAGGGAATCACTGCAGTTGCTGGTATGTCCAGATAATAATTTATTTTCTTTTATTTCCTTATGGCCACTTAGATGGGAAAATCTCAGTTCTCTAAGCCCTCTTCCTCTTCCCCTCCCCTTCCCCTTTGGTCTTGAGTAAACATGGAATATTCTCTCTCTCTTTTTTCCCCTTTCATACTTAAAAAATGCTGTGAAATATCACACTACCCCCTGCATATAAATGCACCATTATATGTGACCGTTTCCTTGGCTCAACACTAGCTTTCTAAGCCTGGAGAGTATGATACCGTCTTAAATGTATCTTTATGGATGTAGAGGGAGTTCAGTCCCATGCAGCATGTCAGAGATCATGATGTAGTAAATCTATTCAAATGTAAACCTGTTCAATTCAATTACCAGTCTTCATAATAAAATCTGCGGCTTACAACCCCCGTGTTGACCACAGCAGTCCATACAGGATGATGGCACTGCAGGTCTGGAAATTGACAGACAAAATCTATTTAAACAACAACAACAACAACAAGAAAAACCACCCCAAACAACATTAGCTGGAGAATCTGAAATGAAATCAGGTTTCAACAGCTTTGATGGGAACGTCTTTTCTTTAGCAGGTATTTTTATTCAACTTGCCAAATGCATCCTAGGGAAAGTACTGCCTGGGGGAAATGAAGAAGGTTTTCATTATAAAAGAGGTTTATAGAAAGACAAGACCTTTACAGTGTTAAGAATAATAACTCTTTCATTGTGTTGACGGGCATCTCAGCCAATTGAAGCATAACCCTTTGAGAAGACAGCAGAGTATAGGAGAGGGTGTGAAAGGGAAGAGATGGCTTATGGGTAAGTGCATCCTGTCGATCACATAGAGTGAAAATACATGGTTGTAAGTTAGGCTTCATTAGCCAGTACCAAAATAGTATTGAAATGAACTAACATTTAGATTTTTAAGATCATATAATATGTGATGTAAATAATATATACTACATGCATATATATATATTAGTTGAAACAGAAGGAAAGAAAGAAAGGAGGGAAGGTGAGAGAGAGAAATAGAGCGAGAGAGAAGGAAAGAAAGGAGGGAAGGTAAGAGAGAGAGAAAGAGAGAAACTAAACCAACAGTTCTATTAGAGAAGATAACAAAATTCCATAACATTACACAAAACTTGTAGTCATAGAGTTAAGGAAATAATGATTTGTCCAAATCCAAACAGTTGTAACATTCAGTATGCTGAAACATCCCCTTTATCTTTCTCCTTGCTCTGTTTGGTGGGTGAACATTACGAAGGATGGGCCAGCATTATATTTCCAGCATTATACTGTACTGTGTGTCAGACAAAACCCATCTATTACATGATATCTGGTCTCAACATTCCCTTTTCATTTTTTTCAGGTATTGCTTATTTGAAGGGAAAAACGAAAACTAATCAAGGTGTACCTATAAATCTGGTCAAGATTTATTTTTATTTTGATCTCCCTCCTTGGTTTTTTAAAGGCTATTACAGTACCTACGGGTTCAGTTTTCTCTGTCAGTAACAGAGACGGTTTATGGAAGCAATAATGATGTAGGTATAGAATTCATTGTCCAAAGGCTCGAAGGGCGTTTTGATATTATTGACACAATAGGTTTCACTTTGACAACTCAAGTGTTTTTCTCTCACACTTGGAGGTGAGTAAGAGTTACACTGATGCACCAAGCCAGCATCTATCAAAGTATGAATGAATTAGGCAACTTAGAGGGCCAGTTTAATTATTTTATGCCAAGAAAGTATGCTTTTTTAATTTGCCTAAAGATACTATGATGCCTAACCTTTAACTCTTGAGTTTCATTATCTGTAAAATAATATCATACTTGATAGCATTTGCAAAGAAACTATTACACACTTTACATAAAATATGACAGAGGCCTGAGAGGATAGCTTGATATAGAACAATGCTTTACTTGCATGTGCCTAGCACTGTGTTCTATCTCCAGCCCCAGCATCACACTCACACACACCACACACACACACACACACACAGAGGTTAATACCATGTTATGTGGCCTAA